AACCTTTGACTGACTTTGACATTGGGCTGGAGAGTTGAACCTTGCTTTTGGGCTTTGAATCGTATCATTTGTGGACCAGGCCCAATAGAAGATAAATTGGACCCAAACAACTTGCCCCCCAGACCCGGTTTGGAAGAATAGCGAATCGGGTTTTGACTTGCAAAATTGGAGGGAAGCAAATGATGACAACTTTAATTAGGAGAAGTTTGAGAGGTTACTGATACTAATAACCGTTAACTTGGAGATAATCGGAAGTAATGGGGAAGTGGAGTAGATTAGTGGGTCATTAATTGGAGGAGAATACGAACAGTCATTGAGTGAAGTGGGATTAATGGGGTTATTAGTGGTGTGAATTCCGAAAATCTTGCTTCTAGAAGATATTTAAACCACTCGCACCTTAATCCTTGCTCACTTAACTCATTTTCGCATAAACAACCCAGCATTTCACTAAGTTTTCCTCTTTACCGAATTTGTTTCTCACACATACCCAATAATCCGAGGCTTTTAGGTGAAATTCGTTGCTCCGAACTCAAAGATCGGCGAATTTCGCACCTGATTGAGGTAATTTTTTCTGAAATTTCCTCAGCTTTCCTTGACTTTTGAACTTCTTTCTTTTTTCTGCTTTTTTGAACTTTCGTTCAATTAAAAATGGCCAGCGACCGGGGAAAGGAACCAGTTAGGTCTGAATTGAGCGCCGGGGAAGAAGAAGAGGAGGTGTCGCAGCTAATTCTGAGGCGGAATCGCCCTTCGGCGATGATGCCTTTCCTCAGCGGCCAGAACACTAATGCTAGGACTGGGTCAGCCGCTGTTTCGAGTGGCGCTGCGCTGAGTACAGTGCCTTTGACTAGCATTCCCCCTACAGACTCAGCTGAAGCCAGTACCTCTGGTCGAAGTGAGGCTTTGGCATCAAGGCTGTTGACTCCCGAGGAAAGGGAATGGACCGAAGTTAGAGAAAACGAGGGCATAATGAATGCTGCGCCCTACTCTTGGTGGATTGAGAATAGCGCCCAGTACCATTTTGCCGAACAACTCGAAATCTATTACGGCATCATGGAAGAGGACGGTTATTGGTGCCGAATGCCCAATGCCAATGAGAGGATTCACCGACAAACCCGCCTGGGTATATCGGGGTTAACACTCGGCAATTGCAATATGGGCTTCAGTTTCCTGCTCACTCTTTCGTCATAAAGTTGCTGAATGGATACAATATATCCCTATCCCAGCTGACTCCCGTGAGTGTCCGAAGGATTATGACCTATCTCTGGGTCTGCTTATTTTATGGGTTTGAGCCGAGCGTGCACTGTTTTCGCTGCATTCACAAACTCATGCCGAACACCCAATCTAACAAATGGCATGGCCTTGGATGGTGGCAGATAGAGGATGAAAAGGGATTTCTTTCGTCCTATCTGAATGACACTTCGAATAAGGATTGGAGGTGGCAATGGATCTGGATCCGAGCACCCTCAGATGAAACTCATTCGAACTATTTCGGCGGTCCTCGATATCTAAGGAACCAGATCCCAAAATGTCTAGCATCAGCCCTGATGAGTTCACCGATGTTGATCACCGCCAAATGGAGTTATTTGGCCGAAACCGAATGCCTAGAGCTACTGGGCGAATGGAAAATGTGCCGAGTACGTGGTTGCCTTGTTGCCATTACATCTTCCAAGAGAAGATGCTCGCTGTTGTCGGCCTCAGCCGAAGATACCAAGGCGGTAAGGGATTCGGCTGGGGCCGAAGTCTTTTTAATTCTTTATTGCTCTCTGATTTGTGAACTTAACACTTTCAGCTGAACTAATTCTTGTTTTTTTTTCCAGAGTTGTACGAAGAAAACTCAGGCATTGACTACGAAGTGCTTGGGATTAGCGAGGAAAGGATTCCGATCACCAACACGCCGAAGATCACCGAGTCCAAGGATCGGCCCCTTTCCCTACATCCGAGGAAACTTCAAGTTGATAGCGCCCTTGAGTACCAGAGGCAGAAGCCTTGGTATAGGAAGATTGATCCCTTCTTTCTTCATTCAGCTGAAGAAGCCGCTGCTGCTATATTGCTGCTGCCGTCCCTCGGAACGAAGCAGAGCCTTCTACCTCAGCTGTTGGGCCAAGAGAAGAAGTAGTCGAAGAAGAGGAGGACTCCGAAGACGAGCGTCTATTGGCGACTTCGGTGAGCTTTTTATTGTTTTTTCAACTTGTGAAAAATTGTCTAAGTGTAGAACTTCGTCTACCTTGCTCCTTCTACTTAAACTTTTCAACTTGTGAAAATTGTCTAAGTACTAAGCTTCGGCTTGAAGTTTTTTTCTTTTTTTTTTTTTTGATGCTTGTACTTTTTTTATTCTTATACTGGTCCTTGCCCCCCTTTTTCTCTTTTGCTGCAGTCCGACGAAGAAGAAGAGAAACAAGTAGACCCGACCCAAGTGTTTCCTGTTCCTGAATACTCTTTAGACGAAATAATGGCGGGTGAGAGAAGGAAGAGGCAACTTGTCCGACCTGGGCAATTTTGGGCCCCAACTCTTCCTGAGAAATGACCTCGGCTTGAAGAGGTCCAGCAAGAGGAGACTAAGGAGATTACTTCTCCACCTCCTGAAGTCCCAGCCGAGGAGGTGATTGAGCTGAGAACGCCCTCCCTCTCCGTCCAGGTGGCCGAAGATTTCTCCAAAGACGTTCGGAGAGAAGCTGATGCGCTAATCGTCCATGCTGAGGACGAAGCGCTTGATGTGAACGAGGATGGTCCGAAGGAGACCGAGGTAGAAATCGAAGCTGAAGTAACTAAAAACAATGAAGTGCCATCTACCTCGGCTACTGGCTCCTTTAGGACTTTCCAGTCCTCTGAGATGGGGTTCGGCTCAGCCCCCTTGGTACTTGTTCCTGAGCATGCTCGGAACCTCTTTGAGTCTAAGCGCAGTTCGGTGACTAAATTCTTCGGCGACACCTCGAACTTGCCTGAGCTGGACAGGGCCAGAGCATGGATGGTGGGCGCGGCATCTGGGGCGTCTAAGTCGCTGGCCAAAGTGCCGAACCCATTTTTAGAAAATCAAAGATTGCTGATGCAGGTGAACTTTCTTACTTAGTTTTCTTTAAGCTTTTCTTTCACTTTTGCACCAAACTTCTTATTTTTTTGCGAAAAATCCCTCAAGTGTTGAACTTCAGCTAACTTGCTTATCTCATTTTTTTTTCCAGGTCGTTCATAACTACTTCCTTGCTGTAGAAATGAACGACGAACTAAGGGCAAAAGCCGAGAAAGCTGAAGAGGCTGAGAGCCGAGCTCGGTCTACCGAGCTGAAGTAGCTGAATGCCGAGGACGAGGCCTCGGCTCTAAGGGTAGATATGCAGATCATGAGCGCCAACTTCCTCTCCTTTTGCCAGGGTCTAGAGCAGACTATCTTCCCCTGGCTAGACGAAGGTCATGCTCTAATCCAAGAGTATGGGGCCGAGAGCATTGCAGATTTCAAGGCTCGCATTGAGGATAAAGTGAAGAGGGAAGTCGAGACTCGGCGCCTTTTGGTTGAAGACTACCAAAGTCAGATTGCTCTCGCTGAGAAAGAGGCTAAGAAAAAGAAATCTGAGTTGGAAGCTGAAAATCAAAAGTTGAAGGACGAGCTGAACGCTGCGAAGGACGGGGTTGCCAAAGCCAAGACTAAACTTGAAGCTGCTCAGAAGCTGTTGGAGACTCGGATATATACCGAGGAATAATATGCCGAGGGCTTTGAGAATGGTTTCAAAACTGCTCGGCTATTGGCTTTCCATGTTGACCCTGCAATCAACTGGGACGTAGCCGAGGGCTGGTCTATAGATCCTGATGATGCCCATGTGACCGAGGCCAGCCTAGACGAAGTGGCTTTCTTGGTCCGTCAAGCAGAGGCTGAGGCTCGGGAAGAAAAGAATGAAGAGACTGAAAAGCCAGAACAAGAAGTTGACCAGCTTGCTTCATCTTCAGCCGGAGCTGCGCCTTCTCAGGTTCCAAGTGCTGACGCCGATGCTGAAGCATAGGAACTTGGGTAGCCGTCTTCAGAATCATGCGGATCAACTTGTGCTTAATTGATGGATGTCGCGTCTGCTTTTGCCTTAGTTTTTGCTTTCAGCTTGCCTTGAATTTGTACAAACTCTTATTATTTTCTACACTTTGTACTTTATTCGGCAGCTGTGCTTTCCGCTTTGTGGGCGGTTGCCGATATTTAGAATTTCTTCTTTGTTGTTTGACATTTTGAAATACTCATTTTATGCTTATGAAGAGTTTTCTCAGCTTTCTTCTCCCGTTGCCTGCTTTAATGTTCTTTGTACTTTAGATGTTTTTCCAAATTTCTTCAAAAATTTTGCTAAGTGTAGAACTTCGGCTTGGAGACATACTTGACTGAGAATTTCTTTATTTGAGAGTGCACTGTCTCTGCTTGCATTCCTTTTGCCTCACTCATTTTACTCGGATATTTCAGTTTGTGAACATTTTTCCCAAGTACTAAGCTTCGGCTAGGAACTTGCCAAATGAGTGCCTCTTGCCCCCCCAGAAATCTGAAGATGGTGTTTTCAGGATTCTGAAAACACTACTTTGACTTCCTCGGCACAGCCGAGGGTTTTGCCTTGGTGAAATTCTTGCAATATTCCAAATCCGGAATTTTTGCTCATTTTTCCTTTTCTCTTCTATTTTTGTTTTCAAAAGCTCTGATTTCTTGCTCAAGAGCCATAGACTCTGAGAGCAATACTCTTGTGACACTTTCAATTCATCCGAGGGAACGACTATCCGAAACACGATGCCGGGGCAGTGATCTATCCGAAGTACAATGCTTCACTAGGCAATACTTCGGAAATGCAATCACCACCCAGAACTGATTCATCCGAAGTACGAGGCATCACTATGCAATACTTCGGGCTTTATCAGTTCCTATTTTTTAGGCTATGTTTCGGATGCGCCTATAGCCTCTTTTCCCAGAGGAACAGATTCATCCGAAGTATAAGGCATCATTATGCAATACTTCGGGTTTTTTTCTTTTATCCTCATCTTGGCAGGTTTTACGACTTGCCGAAGTACGATGCATCACTATGCAATACTTCAGACAACGCCGAACGAAAACCTTGAATTTTTGCAAAAATCATAGAAGACAGAAAAAATGGACACTTGCTAAATTTTGAACAAATGGTGGCTCAAAGGCCTTTCATTAATTTAAGAGAATTTACTGACATAGATTGTTCTTCCCCGAAGGGATTTACACATGATATTTTTTTAGTACATCAGTGTTCCAGTGATTTTTTAGTTCGGTGCCATCTAACTGCCGAAGTCGGTATGTGCTTGGCTGAAGCTCATCATATATTTCATAAGGTCCCTCACAAGTGGCTGAGAGTTTACCGTGAATACGGCCTTTTTGCACAGCAGCAGCATTCCGAAGAACTAGGTCCCCAACTTTGAGAAGTCTTTGATGGACTCTTCGGTTATAAAATTTGTTGATTCTCTGCTTATATGCAGACATTCTATCTCGAGCTGAATCTCTTATCTCATCTAGGAAGTCGAGGGATTCTTTCATGAGTCGCTCATTTTCCTCAGCTGAGAAGAGATTTACTCGCAGACTTTCTGAACCAATTTCCAATGGAAGCACAGCTTCGGATCCATACACCAACTCAAAAGGTGAATGCCCCGTTTCCTCTTTTTTTGTTGTCCAAAGTGACCAGAGGGTTCCGGGAAGCTCCTCTATCCACTTGGATTTTTGGTCTTCAACTCTCTTCTTAAGAGCGTTGAGGATTTACTTATTTGTCGCTTTGGCCTGATCATTACACTATGGATGACAAACTGCAGAATATGCCAGTTTAATGCCAAACTGGTCTGTGTACCGCTTCAGCGATAGATTATCAAATTGCCTTCCATGATTAAAGACAAAAACTTTCAGAATCCCGAAACGAGTGGTTATGTTCTGCCATATGAATTTCCTGACAGTTTGCTCTATAATGTTCGAAGCAGCCTCGGCTTCGATCCATTTGCTGAAGTAGTCTATGCCGACTATCAACCATCTTTTTTGATAGGGAGCATCAGGAAATGGTCCCAATATATCCAATCCCCATTGGGCAAATGGAAGAGAATTCAGTATTGGCTTTAGATCTTGGGATGGCCGATGGATAACTGGTGCAAATTTTTAGCATTTCTCGCATTTTCGGACCAGGTGCTTTGCATCTGCGATCATGGTTGGCCAATAGTACCCAGCCCTTAGTGCTTTATGAGCTAAGGATCTCCCCCCTATGTGGTTTCCGCAGATGCCGAGATGAATTTCCCGAAGGACGTAATCTGCATCTGTTGGACCCACGCATTTCAATAGTACGGCTGAAAAGGACTTTTTCAGAAGTTCCCCTTCGAAGACAATGAATCTTGAGCTGATTCTTTTTATCTTAGAGGCTAACTTTTGGTCTTCGTGGAGTTCATCCCTAAGTTTGTAAGCTAGGATAGGATCCATCTAGCTCGGTTCATGCGCAACGCAGCATATGTTAATTGCTTCATCCACACTTCTTTCTCAGCGCACCTCCACATATACAGATCGGTTCAACTCCGTTAAAGTTGAACTTGCAAGTTTGGAGAATGCGTCGGCTTGTGCATTCTGACCCCTTGGGATCAGTTCGACTTCAAAAGTTCTCAGCTTCGCAATAACTGCCTTGATCTTTGCGAGGTAACCTATCATTGAGGGCTCTTTGGCCTCATATTCGCCTTGGATCTGATTTGCGACGAGCTGAGAGTCTGTCTTTAAACAAACGTGCTCGGCTTCCAGTGCTATGCACAATTCTAAGCCAGCAATTGCTGCTTCATATTCAGCTTCGTTGTTCGAAGCTTTGAACGAGAATTTTAGTGCATACTCAAAGGATTTGCCTTCGGGAGAGGCTATGACGACCCCTGCCCCCGAACCATTTGCGGTGGAAGATCCATCCGTGAAAACAGTCCAAATTTTCTTTCCTTCGTCAAGCGTCTCTTAGGAAGTTGTGGCTGAGTGAAGGTGAGGGTGGAAGTTGTGGAGGTATTGGCTGGGTTAGTTGGTGGTTGTGGTGTTTTTATTTTTTCTTTTTTTTGTTTTAATTTAAGTATTTCTTTTTTTATAAAAAAAATAAATAAATAAAAAAATAAAAACTAACCATAGTAATTTGATTTTAACTAACCCATTTATTAAAATAAGATTATTTGTGGGAATAAATTTTTTTTTTTTTAAAGAAGTCCAAATGGATACTAAATTTCATTAATTAAAGTCGTACAACATCTAAAATTGATAAACACCGATAATGAAAACAAGTTTAACAAAATCAAACAAGAATTAATCAGAGAAGTGCTAAGAATCCAAATACATAGATATAACAATTCGACATATTCTCGATTCGTTGGCTCATACAATTTTTTGAGTGGATCCGTCGACGCTTCAATATTTGGTGAGGAAAAAATTTCTTTTGATGACTTTGTAACCTGAATTCAAGCAATAATCAATTGTAGCCTCGTAAAACTGGAGACCCTATCAAATGCAAATAACACCTTGTCTTTCGAAGGAGTTCGAAAAACCTTTTCTTTCGAAGGAATTCGAAAAAACCTTGTTTTTCGAAGGAGATAAACTCTTTCTTTTGAGAGAGACATTATAATAACCTAAGAATTAAAAGAAACTTAAAAAACAAATTATTGGGGTTTTTCACCGGTGAAATCCGATGAAAGCCCCTTCAAAATTACAATGAAGGCTAAAGTTTAGGAGAGAGAAGAGAGAGAAAGGAGGCTAGGGTTTTTTCACAACTTCCTCTTTACTCTTTGTGGGAATAAATTCTTAATTAAGGTCATTTTGTATAATAAAAAATAAAGAGGGTTATCATTTCAGTTTTACACAAGTTGAAGGTTACCATTAAGAAAGTAAACCTAATATTGGAATCTTTATTTATTTATTTATTTATTACAATAGTATTGGAACCTTTATTGCCAACGATTTCTAACAAATTTTGGTTACAATTTCAGGTATCCTGATATTTTTGCTCACCTTTAGTCACAATATGCATTGTGCACCATGATATAAATTAACAATGATTTGCTTTAGCAATATTTAATATAGATGTGTATTTTCAAATATGTAATTTTCACAATTTTTTAAATTATGGAATTACTGATATTTAGTGATAAAAAAATCGCTATTAAAATGATATAGTATGATTCAAACTTTTTTTCCCCCCTCATCTTATTTAATCTGAACTTATATTTTATAATATGTTTGGAAATAAGTAATAAGGTATTTACGTTTAAATAATGTGAACTAAACATGTATATCCTATAAGCCGCGACAAAGCCGACCAAGCTGGCTGTAGCAAGGGTATTTGAATCGATCATTCTTTTTCCGTTAAAAAAATTAATTATTCTTTGATTACAAATTCTTATTACATGTGGCTAGCCACATGGTGGTTGTCACTTCACATATAAGCAATTACTAAGTAATGTGAGTTACAGCGATGATCAAATGGAGTTACCTTGAGTGGTCACCGTTGGGAAAATGAAGTTACGTACTCTTTTATATAAGTGGAGTAAGTCTTTTAATAGTCAAAATAAAAGAAAAGGGGTTGATCGAATGAACAAATGAGGTTACTTATTTTATTTATATTTAAATGATATTACTTGTATAATAAATTGGGGTTATTCTATAGGCAAACAAAGGTTACCCTCATGAATAATTGAGATCACTTAAATTAAGGATACCCACTCATATTGACAAAAAATGTTACTCCCTTCAATTTGTCCCAGAATAATTAGGATTTTGGACTTTTTTCACTATTCATGTATTAGCTATGACCATAATTTTTTTTACTAACATAATAAAAACATATTTTATCATAAAATGTGTCGTTAGATAGGTATTTATATAAAGTTTCATAATATAGTTTTTAAAATAATTTTTATTAATATTTAATTATTTATAAATAAAGTCAAAATAGTGCATTGACATGCATATGTACAAAGTTGACTGTGTCACTTATTCTAGGACAAGGGGAGTATTTTTATAAACAAATGTGGCCACACCAAGTGGATGGCAACACAAAAGACTAACTGTTTTTGACACCTTGATTCACACCATATAGTTCGTTCCATTTTATCTAGATATATTAAATACAGACTACAGAGTAATACATAATGTCCATGTCTCTAAATAATTTTTTCTCTTTCTACTTAAATCTTAAGTAAAAGGACTCACTTAGACCATGTTTAGTTCAGATAAGAAAGAATAAGTTCTTACATAATTTTTTAGAGCAAGTTTCTTACATATGAATACGTACTTTAATTTTTTATGTGTGGCTTTTTATCGCTAAAATTAAAAAATGTGAAAATACATATTAATAAAATAATACACATTATTACGAATCTAACAAGACCCAACTTGATGTATTTTTTCATTATAGATTATCTTGCTCAAATCAGACCAAATAAGTTTAGATCAAATTAGATCAAACAAAAATAAGGTGAACTAAACAACCCTTACATTTGCATAATATTATTCTTTGAATTTTATTTGTAAGTACATCTTTATGAAATGGAGGGATCGTATTAAGTCCTTAAATAGCATTATTAGCTTTTGGTTGAAGTTAGAAATAATAGCTTTTGGTTTAAGGTAGAAATATTTATTTAACTAGTTGTGGCATACCCCAAGTTATCGTAATTTCTTTATTGCAATTAATGATAAATTTTTGTCCAAAACAATAATAATGATAAAGTTGATTTAATTTAAGTATCTTGATTATAGTTAGATAAGTTTAAGTCTAATTTGTATTCGCAACATATGTATGTGATATACTACTTTTGTATGAATGCGAATATTAGATCATTTTTTCAATTTACATATACGAATTATATCACTATTTAATAAAGTTGGAAAACAAAAATATCTCTGGTCATAAGCACAATAAACTCTCATTTTTGAAAGGTTGAAAATAGTGTAAAAGCCTTATCTATTCCTTCTTTCAATTCAAAGTAATTTGTTTGATGTCTAGAAATTATTTTAGATAACATATACAATGTAGATGAACTTAAGATGTCTTTCTTCTATACTTTAAATATCGTATTAAATATCTAAAGTGTATCAAGGAACTCATACCACCTAAGAAACAACAAAGTAGTTCCTGCATAACCTTTAATTTGTTTAACATTATTTGAGATTTTCAAACCATTTGACCAAGCAAAATTACAAGTTTGTAACTATAAAAATGCATTGTAGAGTACCTAAGCTTCAATATATCTTTTGAGACTGAAATTATGTGTCACCTAAACGTGGAAGCATTTTTCTACTTCTTTGTGTTTCTCACTCCCTTTTTTGATGTCATCCAATTCCAATTTTAGGATCGGAACTCAAATATGTTATGAGCTTGCTATGTTGGAGTATCTTTGGTTAGAATCTAAATTTAACTCTGGACAAGGAAAACAATGACATTTTAAAAGTCTACAATAACCAATTTCCATGAAGCAAAGTTGTCTTTACACAATTTTACAAGCAAGTGAAAAATATCATTGTTGAAGAAAGGAAGTTACAAAGAGCGGTATATAAAAATCCACAATTGGAAATACATTCGTGAATGATGAAAGCCACAGCACTTGACTATCAAATAGGCCTAAGAAGAAACAAAAATAAAAAATAAAAAAGGAACTAAGATAAATCCATACTCTCGTTCAGGATTCCTCAAACTTTTTTCTCAATATCTTGCCAAGAGTTGGCATCCTTCAAGTCCTCGCATATGCTAAAGATATATAGCTCCCAAAAATGTTATCACCATGCCGAATACTCACATGGGTGAGCAAATTCATCAAGAGGTCCGAACAGTTCTCTGAAATTTCCGATCAATTTTTTACATGTAATTTACCATCACTAGGGCCTGCATTCCAAAACAAAAACTAAAACCATCTATCTCCCAAATCCTAACTAATTAAAAAAAAAAAAATAAAAAAAAAAAAAAAAAAAAAAAAAAAAAAGACAGAAAAATCAAAAGAATTCTAAAACCCTATACCTTTGAAAAGGGGGAGAAATTTCAAGTAACCAGAGTTGGCAATATTAGGAAATTTACAGCCGCATGTAATCGATAAAATTCTTCTCCAAAAAAGCCATGAATAAAAAATCCATACAATTGAAGAACACTAAAACAACCCTATACACCAAACACTAATTTGATATTAACATATTTCAAATTAAAATAATTGCAGGATAGCCCAAATGCTAACATATAATCATCCAAATGCTTACTTAGAAAAGTCCCGAACTTTGTCAATAAATAAACAAATTGATAATCAAGCACTCCTTTAAAAACTTAGCAAAACCTTTATAAAACTGAGAAAACCTAGCTTTTTTTCTCCTTGGTCAGTCTAAGCCTTCCTCACTGGGCTTTAAGTCTACCAGGAAAAAAGTATTTTTTATTTCAGAAGTAAAGATGGAAATAATAAACAAACAGTAAAGAAGTAAAGAACATAATACTTTGAAGAAAAACAGTAGCACCTCTCAATCGATAAGCAACACTGATGAGATTTTATGGGTAAACAAAGATTCTCTCAGATGTACAAAATCTACTAATCAACCGCAAGAGATTCTTATGAACAACAACACTTTTTAACTGGACCTCACTCATAGATGCAGCTTCTCCACCTGGATTATGATAAGCTGTTTCACAACTACTTTTGTTATCCATCAATTTGCCTTTGTAAACCTTCTCCAAACCTCCTTGACCTATGATGTTACTTTCACTAAAATTGTTGAATGCAATTTGAATCTCACGCCATGAAAACCTTTTCTCTTGGCCAAAGGAGAACTTACCCTCATCTTCATCTAAAAGTTTTACTACCTCCGTTTCAATTTATTTGCAACATTTACCATAAATGGATACTACAAATCATTTGCAACAAATGTTTTCTTTCCTTTTTAACTGGTCAGTTCTTTCTATCTCTCTCCTCATTCATGCAACTTTTTTTTTCTATCTCCATTTACTACTCACAAACAAATTTTACCAATGTAATCTCATAAATAAAATGAAACAGAGGCAGTAGAAAGAAAGAATAAATTATCTTAATTTTACATTCAAACATAAAAGGCATTGCCCTCATCAACCAAGGAAGGAATGGTGAACTGGAATTTATAGGCTGCTAAAGTCTGTAATGTCAATTATTTTCCACTGTCATTAAGCCCATATAACATGCATTCAGAAATTTGGATTCATGAAGGAAGCTAAGGGTACATGCAAGAAATATCAGATTGATGCATATGGTAGCTGATAGGAAAGTAGAGTAATATACCTGCAACATCTACAAGGACTTCATTTTTGAAGTCAAGCAGTTGCTGTCTTCGATATGTGAAGGCCGCCCCTAATAACAAATGGGAGAATGCACCACAGGTAGCAGCCATCATGAAAAGTTCGGCTTTAGAATTTTCTGGTTGGAAGTGGAGATGCATTGTTACATTGGATTCACGCATTAATAAGCAACTATAAAGAAAGACGGAGAAGAAGGCTTACTCACGAGACTATACCTTTTAGAGAAGAGCCTGAATCACAAGGTTTTTGAAATCTGGCACCACATTCAAGGTTTGTTCCTGTAAAAATGAATATACAAAATGGCAATGCAGAGCAGGAGGAAAGCTAGCACAGTGGAGAGCATGAAAATTTAACGCAGAACATGGGTATTTAGAAATGGTGATAACAAATCCGAGAAAGATGAAAGGACCATATGTAAGTATACCAGATTTAACAACTCCACAAACTACTCTCCAAATTGATGGAGGCCATGTAACAGGTTTTGTAAGCAAAAAATCAAAATTTGTGAGAAAGGTTAACCAGCAGAGTATGATTAAATAAAGCATTGCAAAACTTGCAACAGGTAGAATACCTGAAATTTCAACAGCTCGATAAGCGTGTCATAGTCTCCCATCTTAAGTAGGCAGTGATACCTTCTTCCTGTGAATGAATTAATAGAAAAACATAGTTGTCATCTGCTGATTACAAGAATAGGTCAAAAAATAACATAGCATACTTATTTATAGTTTACTTTTTAACCATACTACCCAACGAAAGATAACCCAAGATTATACCTAAAAAACTTCTATCAAGTATCAAACCCATATCTGAAAATCAAACCATGAGTCCAAACATGTTTACAATAACAGTACACAATATCAGCAACATCTAACGGTAACAACACAATAACAACAGCCATATCAGCAATGAAAACAATAACAGCAGCAGGTACTAAAGTAACAGCAGCAACGAAAAGAATAACAGTGGCGGCGACAAGAATAAGAAATGTAAATTAGTTAAATACTACCCTTATTTAGAAATTATATATATGTGCCCTCATACAAGGCGACAAGTACACAATATCATGTCAAAAAATGCAAAAAAGGAAATCGTCACGGCATTCACTAATGCTGCAATATACATGTTTTGATAGTATGTTTTTTTAATGCTTGGCAATATAAGCTAATACCTTTTTTTTCAATGATAATCATTTTTCCACTCCCTTGCTTTTAAAATAAATAAAATAAAATAAAATAAAATAAACAAGAGTTCTCGGTAAATAGGATGAACAGAAGTGTGGTATTAGAAGGCATAGCTCATAATAAAGTCTCCTGATCCAAAAGATTCCAGAGAACAAAAGCTACTATAACACTCATCATTAATATTATCATCACCAAATAAAACACTGTAGTATATAGCAAATCAACTGCAAGTGTAAAAAATACTCAAACTAAGATAAGGAAAAAAAAAAAAGGCAGAATGAATGACTTCTTAAATGGCAACTTTATGCCCTCATCGTAACAAGCAGCGAGTTTTACAGGAACAAGAGAGATGGTGGTGAATACCATAAAGCAACCATTTCTTTAGACCTCGTATAAACTGAAATATACAGCTCATAGAGTGAAAAAGCTCCTTTAAGCAGTGAATTAAATTTGAAAAATAAGATCAACTAATAACTATTATTAACCGATTTCTAACCATAATTTCAATAAATACCAATCAGTATAATAAAAAAAATTAAAATCCCAAATGTTAAATTAATATAAACCATGCAAAGTTGTCTTCTCAAATGGCTGATATCAAGTGACCACATCAAAATATTGAGACAATTTATAGGAGTTTTGCCTTGCACAATGTATTGAAATTTAAAAATGAAAACAAATAAAATAAAATATTTTACCTCACTAACACTCATTAATGAGAAAATACGGGTAAAAATATCTCATTCACTTAGCATTATATAATAAAATCATATTTTACCTGCACATGTATTTGCTTGATATCCCTACTCATTCAAACAAATTCATAAGGTTGAAAGTACATTGTAGTCAAGAAAGCAGTAACCAAACAAAGTTCTGATTGATCCATATGCTTTTCAAAAGCCATAAGATGAAATTTTTAGCATTGAGAGCAGAGAAGTATTTACCAGGAAGGACATAATTGTACCTAATTTGATATCACTCTATTTGTTGGTGGCTTAATAAAGCCATTTTCTGGTGACTTGACAAGATCTTGAACTCATTTCAGAAACTTGAGTCATGACAGATTCACCACCATTCTGATCCAGAATGCCAAAAATCATAATGATGAAATTTATGCAGCAAATAGTTACAGGGACAAATGGCTTACATGTTATAATGTAAGAATTAACCACCACCAAAAGAATTTGCAGTTAAGCCAAGGATGACAGCCAAAAGAATTTTCACATGAGCAAAGGATGACAACAATTGAAATCAACTACTCATAACCAATGTTTGTCTACTCATTCTTTTTAAAATTTATCCAAATTCTAGTTGAGAAGGAAATTAAAGCTCACTTCTAAAGAAAAAATTCTAGAAATAAGCGGCTGCAAAAGGTATCATCAAAGAAAAACAAAAATATTCCGGAATAAACTACACAATTTTCTTCTACAGATCAGTTTCTGAATCATTAGACAAAAGAACGAAAAGAACAAATATATTGTACGAGTAAAATCAACCTTCAGTGATTAGGCATCCAGGACCATATATAGATACCAGTTGGGTGGAACTGCAAGAATTCAAAATTCTGCAAAACAACAATTGAGCTTAAATTTTGAACTTCAAAGCCACCAAAAAAATAGTAGTAATACTAATGAGCTGAAATTTCGAGTTCAATTAAGCTTTAATGTTTTTCGTTGTCCCTGGTCTTTCTCCCTCCTCTCTTCCTATTTATTTTCTGGAATCCTGTTGCAATTTCCATCTAAAACTCCAGTTTTTCATAATTTTTTTAAAAAACTTGAGGCCCAAACATTATAATCTTACCCCTATTTCATAGAAACCCAAGCTCTAATTTCACCCACGTCGATTTTCTAATTACACTGGGTTTTAGTTCCCCTTAAGTTCCTGATAAATCAAGCAATCAAATCAAAACTAAAAATACCACGCACATAATTTAGCTTGTCACGCATCAACTTTCACATAATTCCATTAGCTTAATTCACATAGCTCAATTCCCAAGTCACAGCCTTCCATTAAACCGAATTCCACCAGAACCTTAAAATTTTATTAATTTTTTTAAAATAATTCCTATTCTAGGACATACAACACAACATTTCAATGCCAAAATTCAATTCTACTCAAACTTCAATTCAGATACAAAATTAATCCGAATATTAACCTATCTTATCAATGGAAATATATAAAATAAAATAAAATAAATAAAATAAAAATCAACATCAAATCAGCTCATCCATTAAAGCCAAAATCAAATAAATGATGAAAAAAACTAAATCTAGTAAATAAAACCGACAACAGTGGTACATAAATATTATCCCATGCTAATTATAAGTAAGATGATAAATTAATTTTATTCTATAATCTAATTTTGTCGAGTGGTTAAATCTATATCCTATTTAAGTTTTTTTTTTTCTTAAGACAATTTCCCCAATTCACTAAAATCCTAAATAAAAAAGAATAACGAAAAATAAAATCGAATTGAAAGCATGTTGAGGTAAAAAAACTTGAAGTACGAAACCCTAGATTGTGAAATTGATATTTGATTATTGATTAAAACAGACATATTACCTCAGAATCTCATAAGACGCTTTAATGAAGAATTGAGAGTATACTTGAATGGAGGTACATGAAGTAGTTAAATAACTTGGAGCGAGCCCAACTGTTTTTTACAGAGTTGTTCCTAAATTGGAGAAGGCTTCTTAATTGGACAAATATACCTGTAAACATTGAATTGAAGAAGATTTAATGGAGGAGAAAGCTCAGCTTACGCTTCAATGGAGGAGAGAAACAAAGAGTACTGATCTCAAACAATTTCAGATCAAAACAACATGAAAAAGGGAATGAAAAGCAAAATAAGAGGATGAGAGGAAAACCAGGAAAAGCAAAACAGCAATATCAGAGAACTTCATTGCAAGGCCAAAAAGGGTAATCCCCTATTCATTTTCAACAGTAGCTCAGGTATCGTTCATAAGCTCAGTAACCAACTTCTCATATTTATAGAAAGGGTTTTAGATTAGATTTTCAATGGTGTATATTTTTGGGTAATTCAACTACAAGTCAGGTTCATTGCATACCAATTAGATAGCTAATTAGGGTCTACCATTTAGATTAGACGACTATTTAAGGACGAAACGCTATTGATGATAGCTATCTAATTGGGATGCAATGAACCTAACTTGTAATTGAATTATAAAAAATATACACCATTGATGTATGTAATATCTTGTTTTTTCTTTTTTTTTGGTTTTTAAATTTATTTTATATAGTGTGTCAAAGATAAGAACCAAATTGTCCTATTACAAGAGGAGGACATCAAGGATAGGTGGAAAGGGTACTTTGATGAATTGTTTAATGAAAGTAATGGAGTTGTGACGGGAGATACCTCCGTGAGTGATGAAGAAATCAACATGGAGTGTGTGCGGAGGATTAAAAGAGTAGAGGTGTAGATTGCACGGAAGAAGATGAAGCCTAAGAAGGCGGTTGGCCCTGATGGTATACCGATAAAGGTGTGGAGGTGTTTGGGTAAGATTGGTATTAATAGGTTAACAGACCTCTTTAACAAGATACGGAGGGCTACGAGGATCCCGCAAGATGGAGGAAGAGCACCTTGGTCCCGGTTTATAAAAACAAAGGAGACGCTCAAGATTGTTCTAGCTATCAAGGGATCAAGCTTATGAGCTACACTATGAAGTTGTGGGAAAGAGTGATTGAACATAGGTTGAGGGCGTGCACAAACATTTCAGATAACCAATTTGGTTTTATGCTTGGGAGATCTACTATGGAAGCAATCCATTTGATAAGACAAATGATGGAGTTTTATCTGGTAAAGAAGAATGATCTTCATATGGTCTTTATTGATTTGGAGAATCTATGACAAGGTGCCAAGAGAGGTACTTTGGTGGACAATAATGTTGAAGAAAGGTATCCCACGAAGGTACGTGACCTGGTTAAAGATATGTATCGGGATATGTCAACAATTGCGAGGACATGTGGTGGGTTGACAAAAAATTTCCTTATTACAATTAGATTGCATCAAAGGTCTGCATTAAGCCCTTTTCTTTTTTGCAACGGTTCTAGATAACTAGACCAATTCAAGATGAGGTTCCATGGTGTATGTTGTTTGCGGATGATATCGTTTCGGTGGATGAAACTAAAGATGGGGTTAATGCCAAGTTGGAGCAATGGAGGCAAAGGTTGGAATCTAGAGGGTTTAAGCTAAGTCGGAGTAAGACTGAATATTTGGTATGTCGCTTTGGTACTCAAAGGGGGACAAGTGATGAAATGGTGAGTTTGGATGGAAAGGAATTGACCATGAGTAAATGTTTTAAGTATCTTACGTCGATCATCCAGAAAAATAATGGTGACATTGATCAAGACGTGGCCCACAGGATTAAGTCGGGGTGACTTAAATGGAGAGCGGCCACGGGAGTGTTATGTGACCGAAGCATTCCTTTACAGTTGAAGGGAAAATTCTACAGAACTGTCATAAGAGCAGTGTTGCTCTATGGTACAGAATGTTGGGCTTCTAAGAAGGAGCACATTAAAAAGACGGAGGTTACAAAAATGCGCATGTTAAGGTCGATGTGCGGGGACACTCTAAGATAGAATAAAAAATAAGGTTATTCGCAAGAAAGTAGGTGTGCAGGCATTGTAGACAAACTAAGGGAAAATCGCCTGCGTTGGTTTGGGCATGTAAAACAAAGACCCGAGGGTGCACCGGTTCGAAGAATGGAAGAGTAGGACCATGTAGGGGTTAAACGACGGAGAGGGAGACCGAAAATGACTTGGTTGGAAGGAGTTAGGAAGGATATGAAATATATGGATTTGCATGAGGATGAAGCATTGGATCGTAAATTAAATTTAATTTGGTTCATGTAGCCGACCCCACTTATGGGATTAAGGCTTTGATTGATTGATATTTTATTTTATTTGGACATTATAAAATTTAGATCTTATTATAGTATGGTGAGGGCTAAAAAGTGTTAGAAGTTTGGAACTCTTAGCTTTAAAGTTCCATAAGAATATTAGAAGAGTAGAAGTTCGACCTTAAGTTCTTGAATTCCATAAGAATACTAGAAGAGTAGAAGGTTTTCTTATTCAACCTCTCTTTGAAAGATTTAACATTCAAATTGTAGAACTATATCTTTGAAAAGTAAATATAGTTTTCCGTTCTAAATCCCATGATAAGTTATTTTAAATTTATCTTATCATAAGATTTACGTAAACTAACACAAATGCTTATAAATTTAACTTTCTAAACTTTCAATAATGTAAGTAACTATAGTTCATCAATGTATGTAAGTTATTCCATATAATTAAATTACATCATCCATACATTTAGAAATAAACTAACTTGCCTCGTGAAGGATCAAATAGTAAAGTAAAGGAACAAGATCTCACATAATAACGAACACTCAGTATGTAAATCCTCATGTAACTAAATAAGGAAAATATATGATTGCTCCTAGTAAATAAGCCCTGATTTGTAATTAATTTAATTAGACATATCACGTAGTTAGTTGTTTCAACTTATAACTTAGCTAGCTATTACGAGTAGCTAGTTGCATTAGATGTTTTGACTAACTTTTTAAATCTTTATTGCAAGAATTGCTCATATATAAAGATTGGTCAAGCAATATTTTCAAATAGACTTATCAACCGCCATTAACCTATTTAAATTATATATGTTTTTAAACACCGAAAATAGTTGATTTTGTGGTCAAGTCCTCTTACTAATTATATCTAAAAAAAGCTAAAATATCATTAATCATATCTTTGCCAAACAAGGCCAAAGCTTATTTTTAATTTGTCAATATGAGCATGTATAGGTTACATTCTAGAGGATAAGATCTAGAATTCAAAGGATCTCAAAATATAGACTATTACCTTGACCCACTAGGTCTAAATTATGTATTTGTACATACAGCTCTTGGAATTTTTTAGCCGGTTTTTCCTTGATATATAGGTAGATGAAAGACATACTCTCTCTGTCCCATAAATATAATTCTCATTTGTGAAATTTCAATGTAATTACTTCCTCCGTCCCAGAATAATTGGGATGTTGAACTTTTTTCACTATTCATGTATTAGCTTTGATCATAATTTTTTATGAACATAATAAAAAAAAAATATCATAAAATATATTGTTAGATAGTATTTATATAAAGTTTTATAATATAATTTTAAAATAATTCTCATTAATATTTAATTATATAAAATAAAGTCAAACTAATACATTGACATGTGTACAAAGTTGATTGCGTCATTTATTATGAAACAGAGGGAGTAATTAAGAAATGAGATAATAAAGTACATAGAAATACACGGAAAAAAGGAGAAAAGTACAAGATATGCATGTGAATGGGGTACAAATAATAAGCACATAAAGAAATCGAAAAAAAAATTGTGGTACATGAAAGTAGGTGAGGGCACCAATAATAGGAAGAAATAAATGTGACAGTATTTTGGGTTTTGCAATAAATAAAGACAAAAATAGTAAGGGTATTTTAGATATTTCATAGTGTCTAAAAAAGAAAAAATATAAAATACGAATAATATTTTAGGACACCTAAAAAGGAAAACAGAAATTGTATTATGAGACAGAGAGAGTATTAAAAATTAAAACTTTAGACTTGTATGGGTATTATAATGTAGCATGATTCAACTTCAAACTAGACTATGTATGTTTTATAAATAAATATCAATATAAAATATTCTCTCAACTTATAAAAAGTGTCAAGATTCCAAATCTGAAAAAAAAAAAAATGAGAGGGAATAAGATGATACATTTAAGATTAAATAAAGTAGGGTATAGTAGTTTGGCAAGCAACTCAATTAAGATAAAATTGATAGCGATGAAACAAACTTTAATTGAATTGTTAGTTTGAGTACAATATCAATTTAAGGACCTCAACCTTTTCATATAACTCTCTTTATTTTTATTTATTTATTTAATTATGGTCTTAAATTAAAACACCTCGATCTTAAACAATTTAACCACTAAGAATTTATTCAAAATCAATTAAGTTACTACCTTATTCAATTTCAGTTAACTTATTAGTTTCGTTTTCATATAGTCCAAGCGACTGATTGAAGACAAATTATAAGTCCTATGTATGCGTACGAACCTGCATTAGAACCACAAATTGGGTTATATTACACTTGAACAAAATCTTCCATTCAATTTCATGAAATCAAAGTCTTGATCTCCTTCAAAAAGAAAAGAAAAATAAACCAATAGACAAGAAAATTCCTATGTATGAAGTCAATGGGGACAACACCTGATCTTCTTGTAGACTTTCAATTCATACTAGGAAATAAATACAATATAATAATTAATTTGGATTATTTGCATGCATTCTTATAAATATGATGACTTAGTCACACCCTTCCTATACTCCTCCCTTTCAACACTTAATTACCGTGTAAATTAAAGTGTTCTTACTTTGAAAATTCCTTACATTTTCTCTCTCTTTATATAACCAATCACCCCATTCTTCATATCATCTTCTCCAATCAAATCAAAATCTAGTAGAAAAAGCTTACCAAATTTCTTACCATAAACTCTTAATTACATATACTAATTGACATTATTAAACCAACCACCAATAAATAAGCAAATTATAAGTAAGTTATTAGAAGTATATAGCTTAGTTATATTTTTTTATTTTTCTATATATTATGGAGGGGGGTAACAGTAGTAATAATGAAAACAATAATAATGATTCTATAATAAGGTTATTAATACTCCAAGGTATTGAATTAGCCAAAAATATGGAATTAGATCTTTCTAATATATTGGCTAATGATCCTTTAAATCTCACACAAAAGTGTGATGAGATTATAGAGGTGTTTAGTAAGGCAAAGCAGCAGCTTAGTTCTTCTGCCTTGCAACCTTTGACACTGGATCATCAGCATCTTTATCAACCGGATATGGAGGCGGTTTTCGGGTACGTGCAACGTCAGTTGGCGAAAGGAAAAGGCAAGGAGGCTGCTGGAGACGTTGTAGGAGTCACCATGAAAGCCGAAAGTGGTGGTGACCAAGATATGCAACATGGGTATGGAACGATGATGGAGGTTGGTGGGAGCTCGAGCTCGGTGTTTAGGAGCTCGAGCTCGGTGTTGATGAGGAGCTCTTCTAGGAGGTCATCATCAAGGTATGAAAGAATAAACATGCCATTGTTATTATATGCTTACATTTGAACAAGATGTTGTTTATCATATGTAGTATACTAAATTAAGATACGGAAAAATATTAAGCATTATAAAACCCTACCCACAAAGTTACAAGAGAAATTCCTAATGCGATTCAATATGCTTTGTATGCTTTATCATATAGGTGTACTTTAACATTTTTTAAACTAATTCAAACCAGGAATTTTAATAATAATAATAATAATAATAATAATAATAATAATAATAATAATAATAATATGCTGTGTATAGTACGGGCTTCACACCAACTATTAGCTATAATAATGTTTTTGAAAACCCTAATACACAGGTATATTAAAATGGTTGCAGCAAGAAATCAAATACAATCAAAATGAAAATAGGTACTCTACAAATAATTAATATCATAATTTTCTATGCTACGTAGTTTCTTAAGGCTAGTCTTCCATATTAAGTTATTTATTCAATTCTTTCTTTGAGATAGATTCCTGCATTTTTGCAAAAAATAGTATGACTCAAGTTTAGATTGGCATTTTTGCAAAAAATAGTATGAGTTAATCTTCTAACAGCATGCTTATTGTCTGATTTTTATTTATAGACATGATAATGAGTATGTAGTATTGGAAATTGTATAGAAATTACATACATTTAGAAGTGAAATTTCAAAATTATAAAAATCGATGTGTGAATGAGTACTTTCGTTTCAATTTCTCAAGTTTTTTTTCCTATGGTAACAGTTGTTCCAAAAGGTGGGGAGGCTAGAATTGAAATTTCCGAAATAAAATTAAAAAAATTACAAAAAGAAAAAGAATATTCATAGATTGAAAAAACCTACTCGTATTACGCATGTAAATATGTAATGCATGCACTACATCAATAATGTTACATTGATATATATTCTATGATTGAGTTATACATCTAAAGTAAACACATAAAGTCATTCTCATTACCTAGCTAGTTTCTAAGTATTTTCTTTGTTCATTCATACATCAATCCAATTGTGAGTCTTTTTCATAAAAGAACTTAGTTATTTCGAATGCCATAAGCCAAAGTTAAGAGATTAATCTTCTTAATTCATTCATGATATGGTTAGTTGGGATCCTCATCTTGACTAGCTAGTAGCTAACCTTCATTAGATATGAGACTGAGTCCACTGAGAGTCATGAATATGAGATTGAGATTTCTACAATGACCATTTCATGTGATTTAGGGTAGATTTCAACAATGGTAATTTCATGTGTATTTTTGTATGTAGAGTAGCAATTTTCTTCTGAACTTGGCAACATAGATCAATTAATTAATTAAGATGGTCCATCTCATGCATGTTTGTTTTAATTTCAAAAAGTAATCACAAGTACCGTTTAATCGTTTATAGTATTGTATTCATTTCCCATGATATGTAGATCTATAACTAGTGGAAAGAACATTGTAATGTGTATTTTATTAACATTGTAACATGTGTGTATATCGATTGAAATGAAATGTTTGATGTATGTACTTAGCCTTTTTGCTAAATTTTGTGATTTAAAATAGAAATGATGATCAAGGAAGTAATCGAAGGGTGAGGATGGCAGCTCCAAGGATAGGTAATACAGAGATGCCACCAGAAGATGGTTTCACTTGGAGAAAATATGGTCAGAAAGAGATTCTTAATGCTAAGTATCCTAGGTAATTACTTCATTCTAATCATAATACAACATTACAGCATATACAATCACATTAGTCAATTTTATTATCTTTCTTGATCTTATTACTTATTTCTCGTTGATCTTCTAGTATAATAATGCAACTATCACGTTTAAGTTGATCTCTATTTCTAGATAACTTAGACTAATCAATCTACCATTTCACAATTGACATAGTCCTATTTTCTTTTTGTCACCTTTTTTTAGACATGTCAATATTGTCAACATCACTATAAACGATGACATAATATTGTTATATTTGATTGCTAATTTGGTAATTATCATTTTACAAAATTCATTAACATGACAATGATTAAATTGACTTGCAAGGACAAGTATATCTTGGAGATTCTTTGTTAGACTATTTCCTTGCTAGCCTTAATTGTTTGGCTTTTGGTAACATCTTCGAGGGTACGTGATGAGAGGTAACCAATATTTGGCGTTAAATTAAAGAGAGTATATATTGAAAAATATAATTACAAAAATCACAATGTATATAATTGTCCTTATTCCTTTATTACACCCTCAATCTGTACATGATTTTAAATGGACAGTTTGTTCTGATACGATGAGATATATATAGATATGATTGTACAGGGTAAAATCAATTATTCTTTCCTGTATATGTTCTTAGTCCTTCGTTATTAAATCTTGTTTACACTATACTCGTTCTTTTGTGTACTAAAAAAATATTGCACGTATAAGATTAAGTTGAAAGTTTTATTCTTGCTCTTTTTTGACGTTTAATTACTTTGTATTATTTCTCATAAACGACATATATTTTGTTTCAATTCATGATAAACTTATGCCTATTTTTCACATGTAGGAGTTACTATAGATGTACACATCAAAAACTATACAATTGCCAAGCCAAGAAGCAAGTCCAACGACTTGACGACGATCCCTACACCTTTGACATCCTCTACCGGGAGGAGCACACTTGCCACATGTCCAACACCGCCCCTTCATCCGTCCCACCACCGCAATCGCCAACCGTCCACGACTATTGAGGATATATTTTGTGGGATATATTTTGTGGAATATTTGGTATTATCTTTCATATTGTTTCCTAATTTCTAGTAACCTAATTAAGGTATCTCTAGGAATTAGCATTGTATATATATGTTTTGCTCCAATTAATGAAAGGTTAAGCCGTAAGTTTATACAATTCTACATGGTATCGGAGCCTTGATTTTTTTCTCTCTGTAAACATCAATAATGGCCGTCGGGGATGACACATCTCCTCCACCGGCACCTACAAAAATTGAATCAAACTCCCCTTTCTACCTTGGACCGCAAGATCGGCCCGGGGATTACATCACCTCACAACGTCTAAAATTGGACAATTTTCACGATTGGTCTCATGCCGTGCGACTTGCTCTTTGCTCTCGCCGGAAATTTGGTTTCCTTGATGGTAGTATCACCACCTTCGAGCCGCCATGTACGAAGGATGATTGGGTAACAATTCAATGTATGTTAGTTTCTTGGCTCATGAACACAATCGATCCCGAGGTAAAATCTATGCTTTCACATTATGATAATGCTAAGAAATTGTGGGATGATTTACATGAGCGTTTTTGTCTCGTTAATGGCCCTAGAATTCAACAGATTAAATTTGAAATTAATAGATGTGAACAATTGAAAAACATGACAGTTGCGGTTTATTATAGTAAATTAGCGGTTTTGTGGGATGAACTTGATAGATTGGAACCCCTAATTTCTTGTAATTGTGGGAAGTGCTCTTGTAATGTTGGGAAGCAACACGCACAGCGGCGTGATGGGGATCGTCTCCAACAATTTTTGCTCGGTTTGTACTCTGATTATTATGCTGCTTTGCGTTCTACATTGCTCTTGCAAGATCCCTTGCCCTCTTTGAACAGAGCATACCAACAGGTTTCACAGGAGGAGAATGTTAGAGGGATTTCTCGTACAAAGGAGGATCCTGCTCCTGCTCTCGGGTTCGCTGTACGAACTGCTGCAGGGGGGGGTCGTGCAGGTGGCGCCGGTGGTTCTGACAGGCAGCTGCCAGTGTGTGACAAGTGTAAGAAAGTGGGTCATGAAACCGTGAAGTGTTGGTCCGATAAAATTTGTTCTTACTGTAAAAAACGAGGCCATGAAGAAAACCGCTGTTATGACAAACATGGCTGGCCGGAGGGTGCTGCTGGCAGCCAGGGGGGCCACCCGCAGCTAGTCGTGGTCGGGGAGCTCCGGTGAAGGCTAATGCAGTTTCGGGTGGTGGCTCGAAGTCGGAGGATACAAGTTCTTTTGCTTCGGGTCGTTTATTCTCTAGTGAACAATGGAAGGCAATTACGGGATTGATGGGTAATGCTACAATTTCTGATAATCGTTTGAGTGGTAAGTTTGATGACACCTCTTGGATTATTGATACAGGAGCTACACATCACGTAACTGGAGAAAAATATTGGCTTTTTGACACAAAAAGCTTCGAGTGCCCGGTTGGTTTGCCCAATGGAGACACGGTGTCGTCGTCTCTTATTGGCTCTGTTTGTTTATCGGACAAGATTACTCTCACCGGAGTACTCTATGTCCCTAATTTGAGTTGTAACTTGATTTCTGTTTCGCAACTCAACGATGACCTTAATTGTACTGTCCAATTTAACCCTTATATTTGTGCTATACAGGACCACACGAAGGAGCTGATTGGAACGGGGACTAGGAGAGACGGATTGTATTACTTTAGCAAAATGGATTCGGTGCATCATGTGAGCGCTGCAAATTCAGAGTTGGAGTTGTGGCATCGTCGTATGGGTCATCCTTCTGAGAGGGTAGTTAAGTTGCTTCCCACAGTTAGTAATAAAGCTTGTTTAAATAAAGGATGTGAAGTATGTATGCGTGCTAAGCATCCTAGAGATAGTTTTCCTTTGAGTGACAATAAAGCATCTAGAATTTTTGAAAAGATACATTGTGATTTGTGGGGTCCGTATAGACATGTTTCGTCATGCGGTGCTCGTTATTTTTTGACAATAGTTGATGATTACTCTAGAGCCGTTTGGATTTATTTACTGAATGATAAAACGGAGGTTTTCCGTAAGTTCTTGATGTTTGTTGCTATGGTGGAAAGACAATTTTCTCAAACCATAAAAATTGTGCAAAGTGATAATGGTACGGAGTTTAATTGTTTGCATGATTTTTTTGATACTACGGGTATTATTTTCCAGACCTCTTGTGTGGGTACTCCGCAACAAAACGGGAGGGTTGAGAGAAAACATAAGCATCTTTTGTCTGTTGGGAGAGCTTTGAGATTCCAGGCAAACTTACCTATTTATTTTTGGGGTGAGTGTGTACTTGCCGCGGCTCACCTAATTAATCGTACTCCTACTCCATTGCTACAAAATAAAACTCCATTCGAAATCCTATTTGATAAACCCCCTATGCTTGGTGCCATTCGTACCTTTGGGTGTTTATGTTTTGCTCATAATCAGAAAACTAATGGAGATAAGTTTGCTAGTAGAAGTCGGAAGTGTGTTTTTGTGGGCTATCCTTTTGGGAAGAAAGGGTGGCGTTTGTATGACCTTGACTCCAAAGTTTTTTTTGTGTCTCGGGATGTTAAATTTTTTGAGGATGTGTTTCCGTTTGCTACTCCGGACAGTGTTAACATTGAGCCTAATGACTTTGATTCTCAATATGCTATTCACGATGATTTTGTTGAGTTTGAGGAGTGTGATGGCAGTGTGGAACGTGATATGCCCAATGGTGTCCTTGAGGGCAGATATTTGGGTGACCATGACCCTGCGAGTGCAGCTACGGCAGACCACCAAGGTCTTGCTTCAGCTCACCCGCAGGAGGAGGCTGTGGGCGCGGGTTCTTCAGCACAGCAGTCCTTAAGCCATGATGAAAATGGCAGTACAGGGGCAGCAGATCAGCAGCCCTTGGGGCGAGGTTTTCGGGACAAAATTCCCTCGGTTCGTCTTCGTGATTTTGTGACTCACTCAGTTTTTGCTAAAAATCCGTCTCCCTCCATTCCGTCTTCCAATACTCCTTCAGGTACTCCTTATCCTTTAGCACATTATATAAATTGTGACAAGTTTTCTGTGAATTATTGTAAGTTTATGGCAGCTATTGTTGGTGGTCATGATCCGAAATCTTTTAGAGAGGCCATGAAACATGAAGGTTGGAGACAATCTATGCAGGAAGAAATTAGAGCCTTGGAAGATAACGGCACTTGGACCTTAGAGCACCTTCCTCCTGGCAAACGTGCTCTAGGGAGTCAATGGGTGTATAAGACAAAGTATTTCTCTACTGGTGATATTGAACGACTTAAATCTCGTTTGGTCGTTTTTGGTAATCATCAGCAGGAAGGCATAGATTATGGTGAAACGTTTGCTTCAGTTGCAAAGATGACCACGGTTCGGGCTTTTCTTGCAATTGCAGCATCAAAGAACTGGGAACTCCATCAAATGGATGTGCATAATGCTTTCTTGCACGGTGATCTTGCTGAGGAGGTATACATGAAATTACCTCCCGGGTTTGAAGGTGCAGATCCTTCATTAGTGTGTCGCTTGAGGAAGTCCTTGTATGGGTTGAAACAAGCACCGAGGTGTTGGTTTGCAAAGCTAACAACGGCTTTGAAAGGGTACGGCTTCATTCAATCTTACTCTGATTATTCTCTTTTTACATATACTAAAGGCACAGTTCAGATTAATGTCTTAGTATATGTTGATGATCTTATTATTTCTGGTAATCATTCCGCTGCACTTGTTGGTTTCAAGGCGTATCTCAGTGATTGTTTCAAAATGAAGGATCTAGGTCCTTTGAAATATTTTTTGGGGATAGAAGTTGCTCGTAGTGCTTCAGGTTTATTTTTATGTCAACGAAAATATACGTTGGATATTATTTCTGAAGCAGGTTTATTAGGGGCAAAGCCGAGTGGTTTTCCCATGGAGCAAAACCACAAGCTCGGTCGTGCCACAGGTGAGCTTCTTGCGGATCCGGAAATGTATCGTAGGCTTGTTGGTCGTTTGATTTACCTTGGGGTGACTAGACCAGATTTAGCATACTCCGTTCATATCTTGTCTCAGTTTATGCAAGCGCCACGCATTGAGCATTGGGAAGCAGCTCTTCGTGTTGTTCGTTATTTGAAGGGTACCCCGGGTCAGGGTATCTTGTTGAGTGCTACTAGTGATCTCACCTTGGAAGGTTGGTGTGATTCGGATTGGGCGGCTTGTCCCCTAACTCGTCGTTCTGTCACAGGTTGGTTGGTGTTTTTGGGGCATTCGCCTATCTCTTGGAAGACTAAGAAGCAACCAACTGTGGCGACATCTTCTTCAGATGCCGAATATAGGGCAATGTCTGCAGCCACTTGTGAGCTCAAGTGGCTTAAGGGTTTGTTGTTGAGTTTGGGTGTGCAACACCCTCAGGCGATCAAGTTATTTTGTGACAGTCAATCTGCTTTGCACATCGCAAAGAATCCGGTCTTTCATGAGAGGACCAAACATATTGAAGTGGATTGTCACTTTGTTCGAGATGCGATTGTTGAAGGCTTGATTTCTCCATCTTATGTTCCTACAACTTCTCAATTGGCCGACATTTTCACAAAGGCTCTTGGGAAGTCACAGTTTCACCATCTTTTGTCCAAGTTGGGCACTCATGACCCTAGTGCTCCAACTTGAGGGGGGGTATTGAGGATATATTTTGTGGGATATATTTTGTGGAATATTTGGTATTATCTTTCATATTGTTTCCTAATTTCTAGTAACCTAATTAAGGTATCTCTAGGAATTAGCATTGTATATATATGTTTTGCTCCAATTAATGAAAGGTTAAGCCGTAAGTTTATACAATTCTACAACGACATATTCCTTCCACACCACCCCATCACAACCGTTGCACCCCCATTTCATCATTGGCTACCAATGGACCTACCTAGACTTTCTAATGAAGGTGCATGTACCATGTTTGAACCCCAACAACAACAAGAGCAATTATATGGTGCAAGTAGTGTAGATGGTGAACCCTCCACCGTTCGATCTCACAATGGAAGAGATCAAGC